GCTACTACTTCAATTCGTCTCCCCATATTGCAACTTCCGCTATGCAATACTCTATAGTTTCTCGAGTAAAAATAAAAGGAAGCATTTCTTTCAAAACACAACTCTTTAGCTTCTTCCATATATCAAGCTATCTTAAGAGTTAATTTTGCTAAAAGCTGGTAAAGTTGTAACTTACCTCTATCATATTGCCATACTCAGCAACAGCCAATTAGTATTAAAGAAATATCTTGCGTGTATCCCTATCAGATAAGTACTCATATTTATGCTTGCCAGCCAGATAAAGTAGATAACAAGATTGACCAGACGATTATCCAGGAAGTCGATAGTAGATATCATTTCCCTTGCTGGAAATACAATTGTATACACAGCTAGCACAAACCCAGCTATCTTTCTAAATATATTGTTCCTATTATAGTATTATCTTTTTTGATAACCTCTTATTTGAAGATCCCTATTCATCGATGTCAATAAAGCTAACGCTTCTACAACAAAATGTATCGAATTTGCGATTAGGTTGATTTTGACATAAGGTCTTTAGAATGTTTTCCTTAACTATCTCACTATCATTTTCGAGATTACAAAAATAATATATTATTATAATCAACTTATTAGCGAACTTCTTTTCGTAATTATTAATACAATCAATCAAGAGATTATATTCTTTCTTCGAATTCTGTTTTGAAAAACAATGGAATAGATACATTCAATAAGCATATCAAAGATCGACCCCACCCTCAGGCATATTGCCTTTGATATCTGTAATCGCATTTATTAGACAAGCCGACCACAAACTGGAGATACCAAAAGAAAGTCTCATTTATATATATCTTCATTATTCAATCCATCTTTCTCATCATTCTTCTTCTTGTTGATAGAATTACTATTACTCTTACTACAGCTCGACTCCTTCTTTTCCTTAACAGGACGCTTGCCTTATACAACAAAAAAGGCAGATGCTTTTTTCATTGCAAACTGTAAAAAAGTATATCAGCAAAGCAAATGCAAAAGAAAAATAAACAATTCACTGCTATATATGTATCCTTTCGTTGCTTCAGCTGTACTAGCAACAACTTGCTTTTACTACTGCATTTTCTTGATAATATAAAAGGCATATTGATTATTGATCAAGGAATACAAAGAAAATGAATGATCGGAAAAGATTTGGAAGAGAAAGGGAAATTCGGGCGATCTATATACTTCGAAGGTTTCGCGCTGTTGCTAGGCTACAGGACAGTTTCCTCCATTTCCCATACGCCTTCCCATTACGAAAAAAGCAAAATTTGCGCACACGCCCGTTTACCACACCATACTACAACATAAATAATGACACCTCATTGGGATCGCCAATACATCTACAGATTAAATAATTATAAAGCTTAAGGGCAAGCTTTTTCGAAAAGGAGAATAGTATCACGGATCGCACCCAATCGCAGCTGCAATCGCTCACATGCACGCTTGCACACATACACAATCACGTGTACATAGCTAGTATATAGGAACACTCTACAAGCGCTTTGCTCCCGATTCTGTAGTTGTAGATTCTAAGGATAAATTGTACCCTGCTCTCGCAGTTCTTCTAAGGCAAAGTGTCACAATATCGAAAGGGCCTTAGTCCTAAAGCCCTCAGATAGCTATATATAGTATATGTGATTAGCATAGCTGATTATAATTCAATAATTTGGTGAAAAAATCAAACTTATTTCAAGAATATAATATAATTACTTCAAAACCTAGTTCTTCATAAGATATTAGGAGTATTCAAAACAGTTTCAATCATTCTAATGGAAGTAGAAACCGATCTAAAACCTTTCAAAATCCGATTAGATTCAAATATCAAATAATACGCTTTTCAATTAGCTAAATTATCATCAAAGCATTCAATCAATATTGAAAAAGAAACTTCAGCTTAATATCAAGCTGATTTAGGAGTAATCCCTACACCTCGAAGAAAACGATATAAATCTATTCAACTGGATAGAATCAGAGAATCAATAAACCAGAATTTCAATTCTTTTTTACTCGAAAAGATTATTCACTTTAACTTTCTTTTATAGAAAAGAGATATCCCTTTCAAAGTCAATATTAGTAATTCGTTAAAAGAAGATACTGCTATTCTTTATAATATTATCTTCAAATACAGGGATAAGGATACCATCTATATTTACATTGATGCCTCCTCCACTGAAAAGGGAATTGGCATCGGGATAGGCATAGTAGCTATACAATCAAATAATCGAATTCTATATCAAGAGCAAAGCAATATTGGTACTAATCAATTGATATATAATAGAAAGCTCTTTGGAGTTACAAAAGCTATCGAATATACTAATTCTATTGCTTATAATAATCAAAAGTTCAAGATCTATTTAAACAATCAAGTTGGTTTATATTACCTAAAAACTCCTTCAGATCATTTAGGATAAGCCTACTAAATAAGAGCAATCAATGTAGCAAAGGTTATTAAAGCAAAAGGAGCCGAAATCTTACTAAATTGGATTCCTGGTCATATCTCAATTGAAGGAAATAAGCTAGCAAATAAACTAGTCAAGGAAGCAATCATAATACAATCTATTTTAAATGAAATAAGCTTTGGATTATTAGGTATGATTGTTAAGGAATATACTTTAGATTAATGGTTTGATATTTTCAATCAATATGAACTCAGATCAAACCAATCCCCATCAATTTACTCGAAACTATTTCCTTGGAAAATAGGCTCGAAAATCAAGCTATTAAGCGGAATCAATCGAAATACTGTTAATATATTCTTTTAATTTAAATTAGGTTATAGATATATCAAATTCTATTTATATTACTTCAAACTTTCTAATAATAAATATATATATAATAATATTGTGATATCATAATACCTCCTTATTAGCTGTTCTATATATAAAGCTAAAAGAAAAGAAATCTTTAAGGAGATATCTTTATCCAAAATCACTATACAATTCCTATTTCATATCAAAATTGATATTGAGTTAGCCATCAAATTCATTAATATCATTAAAATAGCTATAAGGGCATGGTATCTGGCTAAAGTTTTAATATAAAACGAAATAGGAGAAAGAAAAGTAATAAAAGAAAAAGAAGATATAATAATAGAAGAAGAAAGAGTTATTATAAAAATAAAAGGAATAGTAATTAAAGAAGAAAAAGAAGAAGAAAGGAGTTTCTTTTTAATTTCTTAAGTATTATATTTTTCTTTTCTTATTATATACAATACATATAATAAGTAAACACTGGTTCCCAATATTTGTTTTTATTTCCCTAAATCGAATATATTCATCTTTGTAGAATAAAAAGTTATCTGCTAGAGCCTCTAGAGGCCTAGCTGTCCTATATAGTCTTAGACTGAACGTGGACGTAAATGAAATCAATCAATCAATCAATCAATCAGCTACCCTCTGCCACGGCTCAACCAATTTCTCCACGCTATTCCAGTGTATCGTCTTATGTATGCCTGGCCACACACCGAAGGCTCAAGTACGAGTTTCCCTGACCGCATGATTCCAGTTTGAGCACCGGTAAGAAGAGATTCTGCCTCAGGGTAACGTGATTCCAAGGCATTGGTGCAGACCTGCTCCGAATCTACAAGATTGAAGAGATACAGAAGCATGTTCATGTTTGCAGCTGATCAAGCACCAGCAGTCTTGGGTAGAGATGGTATAAGATCCAATATATTCCCAACGACTTGATGTTCAGGCAGAACTCGGTCTTGATCTCCAAATAATACGTGGCCGATAGCTTCAGATTCTGGAATGGCATCTGCTCCGTAAGAGGCAGCTAGATGCACACCATCTCGATATAAAGCTTATAAATCTTGGTCAATACCGGGACTAATTCCGATAACGTTTCGAAGATCGTTAGAAGGTCCACTGAATGGTGTCGATTTAAACAGTCGAATCAATTGCTGGTATTGTGAATGATGTGAAAGGCCAAAATGCATGAACCAGAAGTTACCGATGGAAGCCCCAAGGGAAAACATCTCACGCCGTGTAGCCATGTTAATGAACGCAAATCTCAGAGTTTTATTCACGGACAGGAGATACAAGCTTACGATGACAAAGATGTGTGAATCAGCTTCGGTTAGTGCTGCGATCCTCAGAGAGTTTTGTGGCAGCAGCGGGGGTAAGCCTATCGCCAAATGTTGGCTAGTATCGGGGAAGTGCTTTCACTCGAGACGGATGATTTGTGCATCTAGCAACTCTGAAAGTTCTTCGGCAGGCCCAAGATCGATCGTAATGTATTAAACTGCACTTTAGAATGTCGTACGGACGTTGTTTGAACAAGCAGGAACCTCTATATAAATGATTCTATACAAATGATAGAAAATTTTGAAAAACCTATGCATCTGCGGTGTCGTAGATTCGGCATCTAAATGACAGTGAAAAGCTCGCCGTCACCCTTTACGGTAGCTTGTACATCATGTTTCGCGCCGCAGGAATGCATGAGAAGACCTCGTTGGCTTTCTTGGCTTCTAAAGCTGTCAGTCAATCGTCAACGGACGGCAAGCCATCATTTCCCAACAGCGGATCACCACTCGCATGCTGTGATTGTGGTAATTGAACAGACACTCACCATTTGCTTCATAGTTCCATTCACTCTCAATAGCTCATCATGGAGCTCATGAGTAGTCCTTTCACCAATGATTACTTGTTCAGGGTGAATTTTACACATCGGGTTTGGCCATTCAAGTCCTTGAGCACCCTACTTTCCTGCCTCATTCTGGCACAGAAAAGGTGTTCTAATTGATTTGAGCTGCAAAGTATACTTGATTCAATGTATTGAAGATTTCGAGTCCGGATGACTCATTCTCCGGGTTCCGTCTCAACGAGCCGCAGCATGTGAATATCAGCTTTGTGAATAATATAAATCTATTTAATTTGCTAGAAGAATTAGAGTTTTGCTAATACATTGAATTGACACATCAAATCTAAATACCAACAAAATTAGTTGTTGCATTGGGAAACAACCTTTCGCCCTTGAAGTTTTAAACCATGTCATCATCAATAGCATCGTCCCTTGCGGCCACAACGAAGTCCCCCAAGACCAATTCTCTGTTATTGCTCTTGCAGATGTCTGATATAGAGTTGGACAATCAAATAAAGGACAATAGTAAATGGAAGAAGCGGTCAGAAGAGACCACTCTCGATGTCCATTTCCCGGAGCTAGACAATGCGTCCTTGGAAGCCACCAATCTCGTACTTATTGGATCCAGCATGCTCGAGCGGTTCAAAACAACTGGCCACGACCTCAATCTAGGTTCAAAGCCAGGAACTTTCAACGCCGGGGTAGGAGGCGATACAATCCCCAACGTACTTTACCGCATAAATCTAGGCCTCCTCCGGAAAGCCAAGACCTAAGAGAAAGTGGGAATGGTTATTGTCAATATCGGTTCTAATGATTTGAAAAAACCCGGTCGAAGCTTGACCGAAGCTCAACTTTACCAATTCGCTCTTCACTTGGAGGCGTTGAGAAGAACATTCCCCCGAGCACGAATCGTGGTTACGGCATTATTTTACAAGAAAGATGTCCACCTATCAGATGTTGATAGAAGTAACGAGGATCTGCAAAGCATAGTCTCTGGATTGCCTAGTGTAGAGTGGCTAGCGGCACCGGAAATCGATCTTGACGACCATTATGAGGATCACGTTCACTTGAACAGAGCCGGTTATGAAGTATGGAATAAATGGCTGGTGGAAAAACTTGAGATTTAGCAACGGCGATGGATAGATAGTATTCGAGGAGAAGCTTTTCAACACGAGGTCTTGGGCAAATGACCACTATACGACTTCTACCGCTGATATATCGGTGATCACTGTAACTTGCAGTAGACCGCCAACCTTGTCGGGTCGGTACCTTGAACGGGAGCTCAATAGAGACTTCCGAACAATGCCAAGAGGAATTGTTCTCGAATATCCAGTCTGAGGAAGTACTGCTCCGTTGTCCGTATATGTGTAGTAAAAACCACATGACATGATCCACCTTCCACCTTCCACTTTCCACCTTCCACCTTCCACCTTCCACTTTCCACCTTCCACTTTCCCTCTTCCATCTTCTATCTTCCATCTCCATCTACAGACGACTGCGCTCCTAGAATAGGTTTAGACTTGAGGTACAGCTTTGAAATCTTGACGTTTGCGGTTGATGGAAAGGAGATTGTGGGGGTTTCAATCCATATTGGGTTATTTCCAAAGCGGTTGTGGCCAAGGCGGCGCTTGAAGTGATCATACTCCGTTATAATTTCCGATTCTTGTTAAGCATGTTTCAATTTTCAGAAACCCCTGAATTAACGATTCGCGATTGGCTATCAACGTGCACAAAGGGGCAATGGAAACAACAAAACCCTAAAAAATTCAATCTATCTGAGAATATGAGATGAAATTACAACGCTTGGCTTTCTTGGTACTTGAAAGCGTCATTTCTCCATCTTTTCTTTTGGGTCTCAGATGAAGTCACTAGATTTCGGAAATACAGAAAGTATATCGTCCAAAAGTATATCGTTCGAACGTTAAGCAATTGGGGATATAAACTTCTTGAAAGAGTGCTTAGTGTCGCTTGCCCCGCAAAGTATGCGCGTATCCGTCTTTAGGTTACAATCTAGTCGTTGAACTCTGCGAGTGCCAATTCAATCACTCATCTCGTTCGTCCGTTTGCTCGCCAAGAATTTGCATACACCGAAGTTACGGGTGCTAGTATAGGCGTCTTGGCTCTCGTGCGAGTGTCCACGATACCCAGAAATATCCCCAAAAATTCGAGAGTGAGATGCAGGGACTATGCTCTTGGCCCTTTGCAATTGCAGTGAACAATCTCAGAATTCGCCATTTGCATTGGTCTTCCCGTCTTCATCTACTCCATTTTCAAGCATTTATTCTGCATAGCCACCTTGTTTGTCGTCTTGGCTATCATTCTACTCTTCTATGCAACGAATTCTTCGTTTACCCGTGGGTCTTCCATCATCAAAATGCTTGGATTGTTTATCGAAAACTGTTGGGTGAGAATTAAGGAGAACTTCTAGATCCTCCTTTGCGTTGGGTTGATTCCATGGGACCGTTGATCAGATGAACTTGGCAATATAAACAAATAACCTCAGCAGCAACCATTCTACTATAAAGATGAAGATGAATCCCACGATCTAACATCATCACTTCCATCATTCACTTCCACATTCATTACATTCACTAAACACATTACATTCTTTTAACGGGCAAGTTCCAATTTTCACTCTTTCAATATGAAGTTCTCAATTGTTTCTGCTGGTCTTTTGGCCGCATTCGCCACTGCTGCTCCAACCCCAACCTCCGACGAGATTGTCAACCGCGCTGCCATCGCTAAGCGCGCCACTGTTACCGACGCCTGCAACATTGGTTACGCCAGTACCAACGGTGGTACTAAGGGAGGAGCTGGAGGAGCCACCACCACTGTTTCCACCTATGCTCAATTCACCAAGGCTGCCACTGCCGGTAACACCGTCGTTGTCGTTTCCGCTCCTATCACCCAAGCTGCCAAACAAGTCAAGGTTGCCAGTGACACCACCATCATCGGTAAAGACTCCAAGGTCGTTTTCACTGGTTTCGGATTGTATGAGCTTCCCTCCCTCTATTCTCACTTGCAATTATCTAATCTTATCTCATCAGACTCGTCAAGGAACAATCCAACGTTATCATCCGTAACATCGCCATCAAGGAGGTTCTTGCCGCCAACGGTGATGCTCTCGGAATTCGTAAGTTCTCCAATTTTGCTTATATAACCACTTCAACACAGCAGACTGACCACTCTAGAAAAATCTACCAACGTCTGGGTTGACCACGTTGATCTCTCCTCCAACAGAGACCACGACAAAGACTACTATGATGGTCTCTTCGACGTAACCCACGCTTCTGACTACGTCACTCTCTCCAACTCCTTCATCCACGACCACTGGAAGGCATCCCTCGTCGGTCACTCCGATTCCAACTCCGCTGAAGACAAGGGACATCTCCGCATCACCTATGCCAACAACTACTGGAAGAACGTCAACTCCCGTGGTCCATCTATTCGTTTCGGTACTGCTCACATCTACAACTCTTACCATGACACTGTTGCCGACGGAATCAACACCCGTCTTGGTGCTCAAGTTCTTGTCGAATCTAACGCCTGGACTGGATCCAAGAAGCCTTTGTACTCTACCGATGCTGGTTACGCTGTTGCCAACGACAACGACTTTGGCTCTGGATCCAACGAAGCTGAGAAGGGTACCTTGTCTGCCAGCAAGTTGGGATACAAGTACACTCTTTTGGGCAGCAGCAAGGTTAAGGCCGCTGTTGTTGGAACTGCAGGTGTTACTTTGTCTTTCTAGATCGAGAGTCGGCAGTACTCTTGATTCTTCTTGGGTGATATGAGCACTTGTGAGGAACGGGGCAGAGATAGTACAGGGTACTTTTAGATTCTTGGTGTGTATAAATTTTTTGGTCAGAGACCGTATATATAGATGTGAATAGACGGCTCGAGTAGCTAGTCAATGGAAGATTTTTACTCATCTACTTTCCCGTTGCAATTTTCGTGATTCTCTTTTAATCTTCAATGTTATAATGCTCTATCATGTATTCGGGTTTGAATTAAACACAGCAAACATACTTTCTGCCTCTATTTAAAAGAAAAAAGAGGCTAAAGTTGATCACTTTAATAAATCCTATAATTAATCAACTAATAATAAATTATAGAAATTAGAAACATTGATTAAATTCTTGAATACTCTTTGTTTCATTAAATCATTTAAATATTTAATTTTCTAAATCAAAATGAAATAATTGGATTGTTAAAGGGCTTTGCTAATAGTCAATTGCGGCCTGTTTTTTCTCCTACGAAGAGCCTGCTCAACTAGAAAGAGAAGCGAATTTTAGACGAATGAGGATTGGGATTTTCTCGGGCGTTTTATCATCTGGTTCTTTCGGATGGAAATGTCGTGAGAGAGTGTCAGAATCGAGGACGAATAGAGCGAGAACACTATGAGTGCATGGCATTCAATCGCATAGGGGACGGTAAGATTCGTGAGTTGTATGTGATTGAATCACCAGTGGGTGCATGAATTGACGGGACACTTCCCAACTTTCGAAATTTCTAATAAATTCATTCTTTATTAATTGTTTGATATTAACACTCGTGATTTGATTGCTTCAAATCTAATAAATGACTGCAACAATTTCCAAGACATCTAATTCGATATATCAAGAGATATTCACAAGTCCATTTTTATAGTGTCCCGTCCACACCCACTAGTGGATGGCCAGAATATATATACGATTCGCGATAGAAGCGGCAAACGACCCATTAATAAAGCAGTCTGAAATAAAAGAGAATACAGTCATCCAGCCAACAAAACCGAAGAAAAAAATCCCATCATGTTTTCCATAAGTAGCGCTCTCAGTAAAATTGGTATCTATCGCACAAAAATAATGTTAATAGTTACTTGTGAGTCCACTCGGCCTTCTTTTTCTCCGCAAAAGCCTTCATTCCGATCTTTTGATCTTCACTTCCAAATAAGCTGTGGAAAACTCTTCTCTCATACTCTACACCGTCTCTGAGTGGTAAGTCTTGACTCTTGTTGACAACTTCCTTCGCAGCCTGCACTGCTACCTTACTGTACCCTGCAATTGTCTCGGCAGTACCTAGCGCAGCTTCAATGAGCTCCTCCCAGCTTCCATATGTCCTTGCCGCAACTCCCCATTCTCCGGCTTCTTTGCCACTGAAGTTCTTGCCGGTCAATATAAGCTCCATAGCTCTAGATTTTCCAATCGCCCTTGTAAGTCTTTGACTTCCACCAGCTCCAGGAATCGTCCCAAGTTTAATTTCTGGTTGCCCAAAGTTTGCCTTCTCTGTGCAGTACAATACATCGCACATTAGAGCCAGTTCACAGCCTCCTCCTAGCGCATGCCCTGATACGGCTGCAATAATAGGCTTCTTGATGGCGGTTGTGAGATCTGACCAAGATTCTATGAAAGAGTTTGTATAGGCTTCAGAGAAGGTAAGCGGTGCCATTTCTTTGATATCCGCACCAGCTGCAAAGGCTCTTTCAGATCCGGTAAGAACAATCGCAGATATGGACGGAGATTTATCGAATGCTTTAAGTGCATCGTTGAGTTCGTTTATGAGTGGTGTGGATAATGCATTAAGTGCTTTGGGTCGATTTAATGTTACTTTGACCAATGTTAGTAAAGACTTTTTTAGAGAAGGCAGGGTAGAACAAAGTACTTTGTCCAACGCCAGGTCTTGGTTCTGAAGTTTGTATGAACTCGTAGGATTTGGCTGAGTAGGCTCGTGAAAGTGCGGGGAGAGTTGAAGCTGTGAATCGCGAGGCAAGGGGCCTCAATGCTCTAATTGAATACATGACTTATTGAGATGTAAAATATCGTAAAGGTAGGCTTTGACCCCGATCGTATGAAGCTGTTACTTTAGATCATTAAATAGAGATCCACGAATTCCAATGTTTTGAATATCAAAAAGCAGCTTGTGTAGATTTCTACTGAACTCATTTCTGGCAATTCGGGTACAACCGATTATCCTCGGGAACTCAGAGCTTAGGTAACCCCCGAGTCCCTCAAAAGAAGACCCATCGTCCCGCATGATTAAGTATCACGTGAAAATAGCTACATGCGCGCCACAATCTAAGCCACGACGCTTTCCACGGGGCGATGGATGCTATTAAAACAGGTGGTCTCGAATTTCAAAAGTTCAAACTCCAACTACCTTCCGCGCCTACCACCAAACGTCGCTCCTTTCAACTATAACTTCTTCGACAAGAGTTATTACACCTGCACAAACTCTATACGCTTTCGACACAAGGACACGCAATTCAATATGGATTCGATAGAACCAGAACAAACCCCTTTCGCGGCTGTGAGCGCGCAGACTTCAAAGATAGGACGTGTAAGTTTGTTCATAGATGCGATTTGTTGAATCGCATCATTTGGAGAGGACATATAGACTAATTCGAAGTAAATAGCAATACCAAGCTTGGTTAGATAAATCAACACCATATGTTCCTTATAGATGGTTGGCTACATTCGGGCTTCTTATGATATTCTTCATTCGCATATTCGTCGCACAAGGGTGGTATATTGGTATGTTGACTCTTGGTCGCTTTGCGCGTTCTCAACTTATACATTTCAATAGTGGCATACTCTCTTGGAATCTACCTTCTTAACCTCTTTCTCGCATTCCTTCAACCTAAGTTCGACCCCTCCAATGAAGCTATCGATAATGATATGGAAGATGGAGCTGCTGGTGGATTACCAACTAAACAAGATGAAGAGTTCCGCCCATTTATCAGAAGACTTCCTGAGTTTAAGTTCTGGCATTCAGCGACAAGAGCAATCGGAATTGGTTTCGCTTGTACTTGGTTCGAGATTTTCGATGTACCGGTGTTCTGGCCAGTGTTGGTTGTTTATTGGTTGATTCTGTTCACATTGACCAGTAAGTGATTCCTTGACAGAAGAATAACTTGAGAGAGACAGATTTGTGTTTCAACACACTGACCTTTTCCGCAGTGCGCAGACAAATTCAACATATGATTAAATACCGATATGTGCCATTCTCGTTCGGCAAGACTAAGTATACCAAGAACAGCTCGTAAACTCAATTGGTTTCAGGAAGCAACGAATAAATGACCTGCTTGGGCGACGACAGAATTTGAGAAATGATAGCAATGCTATCTTGTGTACAAACAGCTGTACTTCATATGTGTTCATGAGAGGATTTGGGGAGCAGGAGGCGAAACCCTTACTGATTTTAATCGCAATTTTCTCTGTTCCAGTATACTTAGGGGTTTTCTAGGACATTCAAGGGTCGGTATAGCTGAAAAGCTATCGGGAAATAGATGATACGAGCTAGTCGAAGTCAAGAGAAGAGCAGCATCATCACAACATCGCATCTCTCAAGCTCTTCGAAACATTAGCAAAGCTTCAAAAAGATCCTTCTGAAGACCCCAAATTCCTTTTGGACATTATTCCAGAATTTCAAGGTCGCGCAACCAAATGATATCTAGCATACTCAACTTGTCTCCTTTGATATCTATTTCTGGGTGTGTGGTTCGTATATCGTGAACATATCTTTCCAAACACTCTTCGCCTAGACTGCATCTTTCTATGTAAATCCTTTCTCAAAACATCTTAGCTAGGCTCTAATGTGCATGTATGTGATACAATCAGCTTCCTTTTCTATTATAAGTACGGGCCAATGATCTGAGATAACAAGACTAGACATGACCATAGTGAGAAAGTGAAATTTAATTGGACAAAACTTCAGCCACAGCTTCGTACCACCTGGGCATAGGTACCTCCAGGGCTAGGTACAATCCAGCCTTGTCACTAGCGCTATTTTCCCAGTGTCTGTCCATCCATTCAGACGCGACATTCCCAAATTTATTAATCTACAACAATAAATTCAAGCATATCCACAAAACAATCATCGAGCAACAAGATGGCGTCCTCAGCATCTCGAATTGTTCATCAAGAATATATTGCTCGCATACGATATTCCAATGCCTTACCACCACCTCCAAATCCTCCCAAGCTCCTCGACATCCCAAATACTGGCCTTGCCAGTGGTCAATATACTACACCTGGATTTGCTACAAGATTAGCGCGAGATCAACCATTGAATATCGAAGCCGATGCGGAACTTGGTATGCCATTAGACTTGGTGGGAATGCCAGGCATATTTGACGGAGACGAGAGCTGTAAGTTCGCATATTTCTTTGCAACTTGCGCAATCGCTCACTTTTAATTTCAACAGCTATACAAGCACCATTGCATCCTCCACAACTTCATCCTCATGATCGTGCTCTCCTCAGACCACTGGCGACATTGGGCAAGCCCAAATTCTCCGACACAGGAGTCTCATTTTTGCGACGCACTGAATATATCTCTTCTGGCTTCACCTCAAAAGCGCGGATGGAAGGCACCACCTCAGCGAAAGGACTTGTTGACACACGAAAACCAAAACCTGTTCAAAACTTACCAGCTGATCGTGAATCTCCTGCATACATCAAGGCACAGGTTGAGAAGGGCTTCGAAACCGCCGCTACCAATCTCAAGGATCGCACCCGAGTCCGCCATCCTACCAAGCGGAATGTCCAATTAGTGGATGCAGTTCCTCTTATACCAGATCTCGATGCTTTCCCAGATGCGGGTGGATATGTCCTTTTGAAGTTCCTCACCAACCCCGTTCCTCCAAGCTCTACTTACGACGCTCGGGTTGAGAGCAGTGTTTTAAGACCCGCTGATCCCACCGATGCAGAAATCGAAATGAAAGAAGCTGCTAGACAAGCTTATGAATTAGATCCCCATAATAACCCAGCTCCGGACGAAAAGATACAATACGAAATGTTCATGCCGGATACGGTTACTGATGCCAAGAATATCAAACGGAAATTCGACGTTCTGGATCCTGAACACGACGATAGGGACCTGTATTCACAATTTGATGAGGAAACAGGCAAAGGAGCGTTCAGACTGAAGAGACTCCGTGGCTATGAAACAGTTCAAACAAGCGGTGGGACAGATGACAAATATGATGAATATGTGGTGATAGCTATGCACGATGGGACCGATGGTTTACACCAAAAAGCCGCACATTACTATCCTGTCGTTCAACGAAGTTCCATCAGACCACAGAGAACCAAGAATATTCAAAAGATGAGGCACAATATTAGCGGCGAAGAAGAGGAAGTTTTGGATATGGTGGATCTGAGTATTGTTGACCCGAGCGCGGAGACGAAGCAAGTGATGGAAGGATTCAAGACTTGGCCGTATGGAGAGAACCATGAGGATGACGCAGAAAGAGAGGCAGCTGAAGTCGAGGAGGCGCTCTCCGAAGCAGATGCTGAAGGCGAGGACGACGATCTGAATTCGCCTGTAAGACCTAGTTTGGGTGGAAAGACAATTGCGTCTAGGGTGCAGAGTGATGAGGACGATGACGATGAAAATGAGAGTTTACATTCTGAGGATTAAGGAATGTTGATCTGGACGAGGACCGGAATGGGGACAAGACTGTTGGAAGGAAAATATAGAGATGAAGCAAAGAAAGGAACGAGAGATAATGGAAAATGCGCATATGTGCATATTAAACGAATATCTATCGAGCAATAGGTTACTAATCATACAGGTCTACTTTGATTTCGCATAGCAAGGGGCGGCGTTCTTTAAGGATGGTTGCAGTTATACAGCAGAAGAGAAAGATATGAATAAAATGATACCTACACATGGATATCTTAAGTCAAAATATCGTGGACAATCTGATAAGAACGTGAAAATGAGCATCAAAATGAGAGTCAAAGTAACCACTCTACAACGATGTATGTTTGCGAGTATGATATTCATGATATGTAATTAACTAACTATATGCACCTATCCTACCCCATTCTAACCTATCCTATTCCATAAAAACCAGCCTATCCCCAACTAAACCCCAATGAACCAAAAGAAAGAAACGCCTGTGCTAATATGGTGCTATGCTTGCGTATCTGTATGTTTGCGTGTGTGTATATCATGCTTCTAAATCCAAAATGACTGCAACGAGAATCTCGTCGCTAAATTACATTCTTGTCTATATTCCCGCCAAGCGACTCTACCCCTATCTTATTTGACCGGTGAGAGAAAAAAGGTGAAGGATCCGTGAATGTTCGTATTTTGAGGTTAAGACGATTGAGTGGAGACCTAGATTTTCCAGTGATTCCTCTCGTTTCCAACGATTAGTCTTATCTCCTATTACTCCATTTACAATTCCACATTCGAATCTGTACATTTAAACCACCAATTTCTCTTCAAACACGTTTCCTTATGTTTTGGAGTCGCGCTAGGCGTTGGTTTTACATCAGGTGAAGGATCAACGCAGACGAAACCAAACCAATTTTTGGAGGTGCATGTTTGGGTTGTAGTCGATGGGGTTGAGGTTGTGGGTGAGGGCAGAGGTGGTGCGGAAGTTATGGAATGGGATGAATCTTTTGTACTCGAGACAGAAACGGATGTGGAAGTAGAGGTGGGATCTTTGCAACCAAACCAGCCAGGATGCTCACAAGTTGTTGTTGCTGTTGTACTCGTAGTAGAAGAGGTGGAAGTGGGTGTATGTGGCACTGAAGTGCTACTGCTTTTAGTGGTAGTTTTCTCATCTTTGCAGCCAAACCAGCCAGGGGTTTTGCAAGTTGAGGTTGATGTTGATGTGGTAGTAACCGGTACGCTAGTCGTAGGTTTGGAGGTTGTAGATGCATCTTCATCTAAACAGCCCCACCAGCCAGGCGTTTTACACGTGGAGGTACGACTCCGAGTGTTCGTGGTCGAAGTCGATGGCGCTGACGTGGCAGTGCTACTGCTGTTGCCTTCTACCTCTTTCCAAAGTGGACAGTCTACACATTCCGGTGTAAATTTGCAAACTGGTACTGTATCGTAAACTTTTATGATTTGCTCGATAACAGTTATGATCTTGTGTGACCAGATGTGTACTCCCCACCCGTGATCGGCCACAACGTCATAAACACACTCCATACCGCTATGGCATGAGCTTTCTAATGCGTATCCAGCGTATGAACAAGAAGCGGTAGCTCCATTGCACGTTCCCAAATAGATCGGGTCGGCAGTATGTCCAAAATGATAAGCTCCAGTAAACTCACGCTTTTGTGGTGTACTTGGATTGTGACCTGGTGGCGCTGGTAGACCTAAACGACTTACGGGTAGAGCATCTGGAACGGCCTCGAATGTAACAACAGGAATACCATATGTCAGCCCTAACATAGAACTGACCGACCCACCAAGAGAGTGGCCTGACATCCACACATTTGCGTTAGGATAAAGAGCTGTGACATTGGAGTACAGGTGTCGAGCCGCGGTGTAGTATCGGTTTTCAGACCTTAAGCTTTTCTTGAGGCACGATACATTGCAAGTGTAAGTTCCAGTAGCACAATCGCAGACTTGTCGGTAGAAAGAAGCACCTTGTTGGCCACAACAACAACTGAAGAACAAATTGTCGTTCTCCTTATCGTTTGTAGTTGTCCCATCTCCATCGTACACCGCAAGACTCGTTCCTTTCAATCCTATGACAATTGTCGAGTTCGACTCATCCATATAGATATAACCTCGTAGCCCGTCGGCATCCCAGCCAAATCCATAGTCATCGGTTCGATTAAAACCCCCATCGACGTCCTTCCAATCCCCTGTTTCTGGTTTATCCACGTAGGCGTTTCGCAGCCATTTGTGCCAGTGTTATGATGGTATCCTGTCTGTATGTCCGGTCAGGAATTTCGTCAACAGTCCAAGCCGACGGTGACAATGCCCATACATCTCCGCTCTCTCTTGATGCCGCCACCATTGGATCAACCACTGAAGGTCTCCTGTCTTTTAATCGTTCTATCTTCACTGGGCTCTTCTTCATAACCAATGGCCTTGTCACCTCTTGTAGTGGCCCCTTTCCATCTTCGGATTCCAGCCATACTGTTGACTTGGACTTGGTATCTAAAATATCGAGTTGTTTGTGTAGTTGAGGGTATTCGTACGTTCCATGATGGAAGACGTGGCGAAGGGACTGTTGTTTGCTATTAGCATATTTAAAATGTGGCGGTGAAAGTATATATTTACAAATACATGATTTCCAGCGGAATCCTGTCCAGGATCTGATTCTGGAATCAAAGGTGGTAATATGGGCAATATTGGTTGCTGCTGTTGTTGTTGTCGTTGATGAGTTGAGTCCGATGCACTTATCGGTGTCGATAAGGCCAGGAAAGATAGTAGTAATTGAGCTGTAACCCTGCCAGCAGAAGAACAAGATGTAGATGATTTATACCTCATCTTTTAGAAAGTACTTATGGATGAGGAAACAAAAGAAATGAAGATACTTTGCTACTTTGTTGTATATGATTAGCAATATAGTAGGTATGTTTTGTTGAGCACACTCGAGTATTGAGATGAGAGATGATTGATGGATGATACTCGAGTAGATGACGATAGTTTAATGTCCAAGAGGCGTCACAAGCACACAAGCATTAGGCGGAGGATTATACTTCTGTGCAGGACATTGAAATGAAGAAATCCTATTGGTTCTCTGGCTAATCCTTGCGCATCTCTTATATTTCACAGCCTCGAGACAACAATCTCGGTTTGGTTGGTGTTGGGAAAGATTGCCGTACCTGACAGGAGAAGGAGATCCATTCATATGATCAAATGTACCGTTAGTCATACTCAGCTATACGCCCAAGTTGAAGGTTGTACCCAAGTCAATCTGGATCGATTGGGAAAGCCGACCCCTTCGTCATACCTCTCTCAATTTACCAAAAGATACGCCGGCCGGAATACAAAACCACATCCAATACCTACCTAGTACATCACAAATCGAAGACCAACTGGCAAAAGCTGGCGTCAACGAGTGAGTCGTCCATAGCTAATTAAGGCAGTAGCTTATTAGTCCTCGTTCTCGTGGACTTATCTATTATAAACACACGTAGCTTCAAGCTAATCACGGAAACTACTTCGACTAGGTACTCAGACTATCAGACTACATCGAGTACTACTATCTTCCATTTCCTTTCCTTTCCGTCCATTTGAGTGCCTTCTACCTCCTGTTTGGTTCATCACAATCAATTTATGCTTATGAAATGTAACTTGATTCTCTTCCTTTTACATACATCGAACTCTTCAATTTTCCCACACTCTTTTACACAACGATCCCCGGTTGTTGCTCAAGCAAAGTAGAGTTTCAGGCGTCATCGTATTCATGCGACTTTAGTTCATCACTTCATAAATAGGTATTAATTGTTCATCTTCTCGATTTTCTCTCATTGCCTTCAAAATGCAGTCATTTACTGACAAGATGCATTTTACTTTACCAGATTTCATGTCGTCTCCAGGGAAAAAGAGTGATAGCCAACGGCCTCGTCCGTTGCAGCTTTCCAAGTCATTTTCAAATCAAGAACCACCGTCCAGTCCGGATCGTCTATCCCGTCCTCTCAGAGCAAACACCATACAGAACGGCACTGTCCCGTCAATACTGATGTCGGACACAGCAAAGTTGGGAGAAAACCAGCGACCTGGGACACAATCAAATATTTTTGAGAAAACCTCCGGGCATGGAGGAGAGGGCGGGGAATCGACTGAGGCGTCTGGAAAGTTACCCGTGGACTTCGATGAACTGCCTATAGAACTTGTGAGCTTAGCAGATAGGTCAGTTGAATCTCTAGCATAAAGCAACCAACACGCTTGATTAACATCCCCTGTAGTTTTATTGATTCTCTATCTGCAAAGATTCATCCCACCCCTCCTTCAGTCGACAAATTATCGGGGCTTTTTCAAGACTTCTATGCCGTTGCCGCCAATCACATCAACACTCACATCTCCGCATTATCCTCCCGACAACATCGCGCAAGCTCTCCAGCGCCACCAGCCTCATCGTTATCCGCGACGGCGAGCAAGATCAGAGCGAAAGCTACTTCTATGAATAAGGAACGTCCCAAAGTAATAGAAAGAAAATCATCTGAACAACAGATGTTAACTAGCGAAGAAATCAACGAGCGGAAACGTGCTAGGAAAGCGCTTGAACATAAACGTGTTGCATTAGAAGAAGCAATGGAGAGGAGAGTTTGTGAAGGCATATATGATAGGATATGGCGACACAGGAGTTCACAAGATGAAGCTCAGGACGAGAAACTCCGATCGAAAACTGCCGCTTTGTCAGTGGTTGGGATAGGGTTGGTAGATTTAGGAGTCGATTTGGGCATAGAATCGAGTGAAAAGCCAGACGCGGCTGAAAAGCGAGAACTGGAGGTTCGAGAGTGGCTAGAAGGTGCCAGAGGAGAGTTGATTGCGATGAACGACGAAAGATATCCTCTTGGGAAACTTAACCACTTAAAGGCAGCCCATAAAGGTATTGTTGATACCTTATCACACTTTCATCCATCTTCATCGGCGGATGAGATCATGCCTATGCTCATCTTTACTCTTATAACATCTCGACCTGAAGGGATGAATGTTATAAGCAACCTTTACTTTATACAGCGATTTAGATGCGAAACGAAGATTGATGGGGAAGCTGCTTATTGCTTAACAAACTTAGAAGCTGCGATTTCTTTCCTTGAAACTGTAGATCTGGCAAGTTTGAGGGCAGACGAAATTCCATCAGGGCCAATCAAAATCAGTAGTCGACCCAGCACACCGAAAACAGATAAACCTGACTCTTTGACAGTTGGTATTACACCTACAGGTCTCTCAGCTCCAGCAACTGTTTCTGCAACTCCAAGTCCTTCTGTGTCTAAACCTACGAACTCACCCGTGTCCACACTTCGGCCTACGGTTCAAACAGCGGATCGAAGGCTTAGTGATTTATTCCAGCCACCCGCGGCTTTCGGGGCAGCTGGAGATGCAATATTCGACACCGCTGATCAGGGGTTCAAGAGTATTGGTAACAGTTTGGAAGGTAGCTATAAATTCCTGCTTGGAAAGCTAAAAGAGCGCGACTCCAAAGGCCAAGCTTCAGAAATCGCTATACCAAAAACGCTAGATGATGCCCGAAAGCTTATCAGTACACCTCCACCAGAAGATGACGGATCTGTAAGTGGTGGAAGCACTCCTCAAAGCCCGACTGTTAAGGAACATAAGGATGGGTCTAGTGCAGAGACGAAGCCCGAGGGACGTAGCCGAAGTGATTCGGCTCAGAGAATTGATGATAGAGTTCTCAGCTTCATTGGTGGTCGCAAAATGACTAGAGAAAGAAGCGCGGATAGTAATCGAAGTGGTGGTAGCTCTAGCAAAAGGGTTGCATTTGCTCAAGAAGAAAATGGAGAGAAAGGGACGCCCTCTCCGCAGGCTCCTGCTGGCAATCCAGCCATTGTTGAATCAATGCGAAATCTCGGCAACTCACTCAACCCGATGAACAGGATTGCTGGGATGGGTATGATGCGTAGTTTTGGACGTGTAACAACTCCAACAACGCCCACTCCGACTAGATCAGCCGTACTGGATGGAGGGACTGCTGAATTGACTAGTGTATGTATCATGTACCCTGTGTAATTCATACTTACTGACTTTGATAGACATTCCCTGATTTAGCTGCGTCTCTACCACCCAAAGAGACACGCAAAATCGCGCCACCGAACAAACGATTCATGGAACTTCAAAATCCAGGGGATCTCAAAATTAGTGAGGTAATGGAGTTATTGAGAGATTATAGAAGATTAGCAGGAGCTTTAAAAGATCTTGGGGCTGTTTAGGTGGTATCACCATAATTTTCTTTGATTATCTTGTCGTCTACATATCTTCGGATACCACGTTCCTTAATTTTTTCTTTGTCTTATTTTTCATTCCATAGGCTGTCTTTAGGACATTGGGAATCTGTTAGAATGGTGTTCATTGGGGCGTGGATATGGGAAACATAGAATTGAATGGGTATATGGTATGGGATTTGACTTGGGAGCCTCTGACGAGTGGGGAATGTCTGAATTCAAAACTTGACATGAAAGTGAACTAAACTCGGCCTGAAGAAACACATCGATACACGTGGGTTTCGATTTAAAATTCGATGGATCGAGAGAGGATGAGCTATATCGTTACATTTTTTTCAGAGGAAGATCAAGAGTTAGACACACGGTATTGATTTAAAGGATTTGGGGCGGTTGAATTTGTTTGACATGATGGATGTAGTAGACAACAGAAGATCGGGAGACATCAGTGAAGGTGAGTACTCGAGTACACTCTATGTGATAAAGTAGAAATTGTGAGATTGAAAATGAGAAGAATTTCAAAATCATCTGTTTGTAATTATTGTGATGCGTCGATGTGATTTGAGCACTATGACTGGACATTGAGATGGATTTTATCGGGAATCGGAAATACTTGTTTTTGGTTGTATGGTTATTTGTGTTTGTTGTAGTAGGAATTAACCTGGGCTTTTAATAAGAATGAAAAGGGGTTGGCTAGCTAGCGAGAATCGAGATGGGTTTTTGTGTTTGAGTATTCGTGCTAGTTGAATATATACATAGTTGTATAAGTACCTGTGACGTATCTCGGATGTTTTCTCAATTATAATAATGTTGTAATCTTTAAGTTGGATAGTAGATAACCCACCTCTCTTGATTTCGTATGGATGTATATATACGCATATTAATATTAATATTATTTGTAGTGAGTATAAATATAAACATATGTAAATATATGTGAACATTGACGGAGAATGTGAAAGAGAAGATTTTGAAAGGGATTCATTTGTATTTATTGAGTTGTATATTTCTGGGGTGAGTAAATTAATAGGTAGGTGTGTAGAGGAGTAGTAGATAGTTGAAGTGATTCGAATAGGATGAATAGGAATCTAGGTATATTGATGAGAGAAAGGGTTGGAGATTCAGTGGTATAGTTGTATGATGATGGATGTATTTGAGAGGAAGGGAAGTTAGGGGACGGAGAGATATTGGGGGATTGTAGGATTGTGGAACTGTGAGCAGATATGGATATAGTTGGGGTTAGGGTTATATTGATGTTGATATTGATATTGAAAAGGTTTGAATGTTCAGAATTGTTAGGATTTAGATGCTTGAATGCTGAGTATACTTTTTGTCTTACGTGGATTTACTCTGTTTATTCTTTTTAGTCTTTTTATTATTCACTTTTTATTATTCACTTTTTATTATTCACTTTTTATTATTCACTTTTTATTATTCACTTTTTATTATTCACTTTTTATTATTCACTTTTTATTATTCACTTTTTATTATTCACTTTTTATTATTCACTTTTTATTATTCACTTTTTATTATTCACTTTTTATTATTCACTTTTTATTATTCACTTTTTATTATTCACTTTTTATTATTCACTTTTTATTATTCACTTTTTATTATTCACTTTTTATTATTCACTTTTTATTATTCACCTCTTATTATTCACTTCTCATTATTTATTCCTTACTATTCACTTTCTATTACTCACTCCTTCCTTCCTTTAACAATTCCCAGTCATTTTGCATATCTCTGAGATCGCCTGCTCCTCTTATAAATCTTTTGTTGCAAATCTGCATTCATATCTACTTCGGAATCTTAAGGCAGAGTGATCATTTTCATATCCAAACTTGTAATTGTAAGCATAATCGAACGATAAGAAACTTCCAGTGCCCTCCTCTCGAAAATTCAATAGTTCCGATTGGTCGAATCTACAGTGAATAGTATCGTTGCACGTCTGCAGATAGCCCGGGTATCCGGGGTATCCTGTCATCCTACTCGCCTACTCATTCTAGAAAAGCTACATCAGACCAGACTTTGAAAATCTTTCATAACAATCCTCTATGTTCCGAAGTTATCTAGACAGCGCAGAGATGAGATCACAGTGCCGCAAAGTAAATCCTTATATACTGGTCTGAAGGATAGGTTCAGCTCGTCAATTTAGGTTCTACATCCTGGAGTAGTTATCCAAAATCTTAATCATACTATTGCATTGTGACGACATGATCATTTCCATCTCAGCCAGAAGTCGGATCAAGATATGGAGGGTGGTAATACAAGATCTAGACCCCCAAAAGGCTTATCGGAAGTTATTTCAGATATGCAACAAAGGGGGGTTTGGCTGAATATTAGGAACCCTTCAGTGAGGTGGGATGGAATAGTGTGACCTTTGTTCATATTGGGAATAGACACGAAAATGAACTAGATTCTGAGAGCACATCTCCTCGTTAAACTTGGCACTCCGCCGAAGCCTTTGACGAATCTGCAAATGAGTCGTCGAAAGGATGATGAGAATGATTCTTGGCAAGCTGAATCTGGAAAATCCATCTATTCTGCACTCTATAATCCCTCCAATGTATGTCGTTATGCAATATCACTGCCAGTCTTTCGTTGTATGGATTGGAGCGAAAAACTTTGCACCTAAACTCCGAACATCAGATTCCTCGATCTTGGCTCATCCTGTCATCTATCTGGAAGGAGGTGTCCTTTCCCTTAAATTAATATAATACTGTCAGATGAGCACTTGCGGTAAACTTAATCATCTTATAATGACACACTTTTTCTGTTGCAAAAGCGTCCGGACCGCAACTGCCGTTCGGTAATTCAGGCCAAATATGAAGTTATGAACTGATTCGCAGATGGACCACACATTTCCCCGGATTTGTTTGATGTACTCCAGACTTGGCAGTCTTGACTTAATTAATATTGAAGTTAATAACGGGTTTATAGAATTGTGGAATGAAGATGTAGTTCTTGGCATGTGGTATTAAAATGGTAATTCCCACGTGTGAAACTTCATATGTTTTGAAGACATTCCTTGAATCAAGGTTGTGCAGTCAGTACAACAATCATCATGAGAAGTTCGGATATCGCATTTGTCTTGCTAAAGTGTTGTGGCAGCAGTCAGAAGCCATGCGACTTTCCAGGAACTTTGGATAAATGGTGTTGATCAAGTCGGAAACTGTGTTCGATTGCCTCCTACCAATAGTCCTGTCACCGATTTAACATCGACTGATTTGCGGTATGTAATTTTACCATTATTTGTAGCGTTCTAAAGATATTTCTACCGACTGACTATATGAACAGGTGTAATGTCGGAGGCACAGTTGGAGTATCCGGGGTATGTTCAGTGGCAGGTATGTCAATCTAAATCGTAAAGAATTTGCTTAAACTGACATACAACAAGCTGGAGAGAATGTAACCGTAGAGATGCATCAACAACCCGGAGATCGATCATGTGCCAATGAAGCCATTGGAGGCGCTCATTATGGACCGGTCATTCTGTACATGTCCAAGGTCTCGAATGCGGCGAACGATACTGGCGCTAGTTCATGGTTTAAAGTAGACCAAGAGGGATACGATGTGTCTCGTCAGTGGTGGGGTTCGGCATGTTTTCCCCTTTCTCTAACCCAAGTCAAATCTCTCGGCTTCTTCCTAGCTTGGAAGTACATAACCAAAGTATGAGGCTACACACATATGCAGCAAACCCTAAACGCCAACTGTGGAAAACGTTCTTTTATCATTCCATCAACACTAGCACCCGGTGACTGCTTGCTGCGCGCAGAAGTCATCGCTTTGCATGTAGCAAGTTCTGTAGGAGGTGCTCAACTCTACCTGTCTTGTTTTCAACTACGTGTAACTGGGTCTGGCTCAAAGAACCCCACTGGAGTACTATTCCCAGGGGCATACTCGGCAACCGACCCGGGGATTCTGATCAATATTTACCAACCCATAAATAATTACACCATACCCGGACCAACTACAGTCTTTACTGGCTAGGCAGTAGGTAATGAGCATATACACTTTAAGATGGAAAGAGTTGATTGGAACATGTGGTAGATACCATCCTGCAGAACTCGAAAGCAAGAAGCGGAAATGAAAACCATATGTTGAGCAATGAAGTCCGCGATAATGACCCTTTTCAAGCTTAACATGCTTTTGGTGATGTCTACATGGCTGTCTGGCATGCGAGTGAAATGATAACGTTTTTCAAGCACAAAGGCCTCGTTCCCAAGCGGTTAACTCCTGAATGACCTTGTCGAAAGTATCGATTCACAATATTTACCTAATCATGAAAAACAGAAGCTCAAAACGCGTAATACGGACTGCTCATATCTGTGATGATGAGTGCAGAACACATGGCGCTTAGATCATGTGCCCACATAAACTACAGGCTTAAGAGCATTGCCGAAATACTAATGACGATTTGGCATGAATCCTTGTAGTGCATGCCCAAAGAGCTACGGAGTATAAGGAACAGGTAATTGCCGATCTGGGGGTGAAAGTTTGATGTTGCATTAGATCAATGTGGTTGATGCGACTGGATGAATTGAGTTCTGGTAGTGGGGTCCAATTGTCTGTACTGTGCTGTACAATCCGAGGTGAGAACCCGGGAGTTTGGTTGTAGCGCCGTGGCATGAAAAAGGTTTGCGAGGGGAAGTATGTGGTTTCACAGAACGGAGGCCTTAGGAAAGCGATGCGGTTCGGATGTACTGAGTCTTACGGGGGGGCGAAAGACTTGGCTTCAGTGTCACCTCACCTTGAGGTAATAAGCGCCATTGGAGCACGAAGTATACTTGACGGACGAGGTGACATTGTGCCTCGGATAATTTGAATCGGATGAGTGGAAAGATCTGACGATTTTGATGAGTTACGATCTCGGGCACGTAGGTTGATACCTACAACAGTTGCGTGGCTTGTATCCGTTCCATGATACCCGTGGACTAATAATAAAGTAAATCTCAACTTGATACGAACCCTGAACTGTTATGCTGTTGAGCTACTATGTCCTATGGGGTCTAAAAAGATATTGTTGGATTGTTTTGCAGCGGCAATGGGCGCAATAGATTCATTCCAACATGCGACAGGTAGGCTGAGCTGGACTGGGCTGATGAGGATGAAATTGGGGGCGACTGGTCTTTCCTTTACCTTTCCATTTCCCTGTCTCCTTCCCTTCTGCTGATTCATCTTATCTTATCCACAACACCAACAATTAGACAATACTTCAACCGGCCCGCACCGGAAACTAATCTCGAGCCAATTAAAATAAATAAAGTTTGAAGAACAAGTAGAAGCGAAATAAGCGAATATTGGGCAACAAGAAGAGTGATTGGATCAAATTGAATCACGTAGATCATGTGGATCATACCAAGGTGGGTATAATGTAAATGTCGATATTTGAGAGAAAAAAATGGTCTGGAGTCCTTTCCCCCCGAGCTGAATTATCGAATATGTGATGACATTTCCAAAAGGGTAGGTGGCGATGAGAACATCGAATCGATTACTCTTCTCAAACACCGTGGGTTAGAAAAGTGGAAGCAAATAACATACAGGAAGCCACTCTCATGTATATCACCAAATGTTGGTGTTTCGAACATCTGCCCAAACATAGGTAGATACAGAGTAGGTAGACTGTACGTGCTTGCTACAACAATTCATCAATCCATCAACCCATCAATAAATAACACAGCCATGCTTCAATTCGGAATCTCGGACCCCAAAAGAGGTATTGTCAAATTCAACCGTCTTTTTCCCGTTGGCTATGCCTTTTGCTTGAGAAAAAGGAAAGCAAAGAGAAGATCCAAATCACCCAAATCATCCAATGGATTCCTCAATCACAACAATAGGTCAACGGCCATCTGCATATTCCGCCACAAATTGAGGAACATCAGGAACATCAGAAATACGGCAAATACTGATTTGATCAAACAAGGAAAGAACTTCCTTGTCAATTTCTCTGGACCCCAGCTTCTTCTTTTCTTCATTCGACCAATCATCAAATGTGACGACTTGATTGAGTGATGGGAAAGAATGGAAATGATAAAAAAATGTCGAAGCTCTCCAATCATGATGATAAGATGAAGATATACCCATGTTCATACATATGGCCAGTAACCATGTCTGCATGGGTGCCTTGTACCTTACCTTGGCCTTCTATTCAACCGCCAGACTCTTATGTGATCGATGCACCGGGAAGGAAGTGGATGTGATGCTGCCATGCTGCCATGCTGCCATGCTGGTTGCGGAGAACCTTTCTCAATTAGTAGAAGCACAACTGCATTTCTTATCACACACATAATCCACTATCACCTCAATTTTTCAAGTCATACTGGTACAAGAATGTCAAATTTCCGCAACACGAACTTATTCATGAAGTCTATGAGTCGGTTGAATGTTGTGGGACGAACACTTCCTTTTTTTAATATCTTCATGACGGTTCAATAGAGGATCAATCAACCTTCAATACCTACCTATATTACAGTAATATTTGGGTGAGATAGATCTTGCTGGTCGAGATCAAATATCAAACTATTATTCATTATTACTCCACCTTACGATACACAAGAAAGATCCTTGACGAGATAGAAAACGATAAGGGATTGATTCGAATGACGAAGGTTCAATAATTTATACACCACCTGCCACGAATTCCTCTTTCCCGTTACTCCCCAATATATAATAATAACATATCTGCAACATGCGGTCTTCAATATTGGCTCCGAGCCTCTTCCTCATCACGTCCTTCACACAATCCACGAGTGCATTGAAAGCTCTACCGGATTCACCATGTGCATCGAAATGCGGCAATGTTTTAGGAGGAACCTCAGGAGAGAATGATATCGTGTGTCAGAATACGGACTATACAAGCTTGATTGGAACAACATACTCGGGTTGTGTGGGATGTCAATTGACGAGTACTTTTGTTGATCCTTCAACGAATGAGACGGATTTGGAATGGGGTTTATGTTCGTAGTTCTTTCCTCAAATTTATGTGTTGAAGTATGACTAACATGGCGGGTACATAGATAATTTGAGATATGCCATGAGTTGGTGTCTCTTCGGCTTCCCAAATAATACAGATGTGGAAGATACGCCATGTATAACGTCTCTATCGTGTGCTCCAATGAAGAATGCCATCGAATACGGAAATTTAACGACGGATGCCCAAACTGAATATGGCTATTGTTCAGACATCGCTACGAATCAAATCGCCGAATGTCAGAACTGTCTCGAGATCTCCAGAGCGACATATTATCTGAACAACTTTTACACTCTCCTCTATGGAGCCTGTGATCAGCAACCCGCACCAGGCTCAACATTATCCTTTCAAGGTTCGCCCTTTTCCACAACTCAACTCAATATGACATCTCCCACTCCCACCGCCGTACCCGGTCAAACCTATTCCGGTCTCTCTCTTAATGCACGAATCGGAGTCGCAGTAGGAATAATTGTCTTCGCCCTCTTCATTACCGGTTTTTGCATCGTATTCAATGGCCGCCGTCGCCGCCGTCGCATTCTTCGTCAACATCAACTCGATACCGGCTATGCAGCTTGGAAAAATGCACACGACGTCGATGGACTAAGTGGCCATATCCCTGTCAATGAAGTAGATAGTGCAGTCTCTAATATGACATCCGGATCGGGAGGATTCTTTGATAGTCCTAATTCCCAAAAACCCCTACAACCGAATTATTGGGGTCAACAACAACCTCATGGGGGAAATTTCAATGGGCCGGCCGTCATGACGCCGATTGAAGATAGTCCTATTACTCCCATGGCTGAGAAGGTGTATCTGTCTCCTTATTCCTCACCATATAGTAGTCCGGCCACAGCATCTACAGATGCAAATGGGAGGAGTCCGAATATTGATCAGTGGCCTATGGATCGAAAGGGAAGCTTCGGCCAGAGCAGTTTCGGTCAAGGAGGAGGCAGTATGGCTGAGAAACTTAAGGCCCGAGAGAGGGAAAGAGAAAGGAGGAAGAAAGAAGAAGAAGTGATGAATGAGCGCAATCAAATCGAGTTGCAGAATATGCAACATTTCCAGAGCCAAAACGTGGCTCCGGTTTTGGGGCATCCGGGATATGGAAGGGACCGAGATGGGGTGAGAGGATTATCGAGTGAGGATGCGAGGAGAGGTGATGCCCTTTAATATTAACTAGGACCTAGGGGCTTGAGAGGGGTGTCGTTGTTTGTTTATTTTGAGTGTGGATTTTTTGTATATCATTTCTTGTGTTTGATTATTTGATGATACCATTTTGCGAGGGAGGGAAGAGGTAGAACTGATTAGTTCGTCCTAGGAGGAATTGATGGACGAATTAACGAATGAATGAATCGTTAATACTGACTGTAAAGTCATTTGGAAGGCACATGACGAGGAAATAAATACTACTCCAGCAAAAAGTAAATTGGGAGGAAATGAGACTCTTTTGATATCATCAATGGAATATATACAGGTGTTATGTATATCACCACAATCCATTCACCCACATTGTACCATGAATAAAAATAATAACACCCTGCCTGTGAATTTAAATCTCTGTGCTTCTCTCCACTGTTCTGCAACGATCATCTCGAGAATGTAGCTTGATAACCAATGGTTTAATGTTCATAATTGAGTATCCATACACATATTGCATGTATCTGTACTTTATATTCTATTTTTATGTTGCTGAAGATTAGATTTGGGGGAGAGAGGAGGAGGGGAGCTCTAATTTGTCTATTGTAACTTGTAAGCGCTGGGAGAAATTGGGGAGGGGGAAGGTCGTTTTGAATTGATAGTTTGTATATATGTATTTATATTTATATACATACTTTCGAATTGTGATTTTGAGAAGTCTTAGGGAGTGGAGTATAGAGTGGTATTTTGGGAGATGGTGAGTATCTATCTTGTGGTTTATGATATGGTATTATATGATATGATATATATAATGCGGTATCGAGTTATTGATATTAATATTGATATTAAAAAAACGAACTATCTGAACATAGGTATAATCAAC